TAAACAACTGTTCTCCGGGCTAGTTTCAGCGAAGAGAATATTGAACAAAGAACCCATGGTAAATAATCCATGGTAAGAAGAAGCAACGGGTGTGTAGTGTGTAGGATACGAAACGTGGGCACTATGGGCGGCGAAATTGTGAGGAGACGAGCCGCCTCCTGCCCATACCACACCACACCACATGCACGACTCTGCACTACCCCATGCCCACACCACAGCACACGCAAAACTTTGTACTATCCCATGTCAACACATCGTACCAAACAACCCCAAGACATGCGACACCGCCATCTTACAGCAGCGGTATAGTGTCCCATATCATCCCGTGGAACGTACCGTACCGTGCCGTGCCGTGTCACACCGATGACCGCCGGACACCCGAGTGAAACAAACATTGCTGTTGCTTTAAATAATAAAAAAAACGTTCCGGTCTCCGCTCAGCACCAAACGTCCGTCCGTACCATTCCAACTGACGCTGACGCCGACAACTTCCATGGCTACAGGTCAACAGCCCACAAACCAAAGGAACAAAAAAAAATGATGGCACACATAAAAAGTCATCATCACAAACGCGATCGAAACACACAAAAAGGGAACGAACACCCACACTTGAAAAAAAAAAAATCACACACACACACAATTAAAACTCTCAGAAAAATCACCACAAACGTGCAGCAAACGGTTCACAAACTTCCGAAAACCAAAAGGAAAAGAAGGAAACCCCACCAGAATCGTCATCACAAACGCGATCGGTAAAAGAAAACACAAAAAACAAACAAAAAAAAACGGAGCCAACATACATGCCTACCTTGGCAAGGTCGAGTGAGATCACCCCGGCGCTGCAGCCCATCCCGCTCAGGTTGAACGTCCTCGCGTCGGAGCGCATGCCGAACTTGTGGCTCACCATGGAGCAGAGGGAAGGCGTAGGGGAGAAGAGGCTGTAGTACGTGTGCGTATGTCGCCGGCGACCGTCGTTGTTGGCGAAATTCGGGGGGGGGGGGGGAG